TACCTCTGGTTCTATTTAACACAGAGCTGGCCCCATAGGAGATGCTCAAATAAAGACACTAATAGCAAATATTTATTGACAACGTTTACTATGTGCCAAGCACTGTTCTAAGCAATTTACGTATGTTACATAGTGACTCTATAGGTATTAGAACTAACCTTATTTTGCAGCTAGACTACTGAGGCACAGAAAAGGAAAGTAACCTGCCTAAAGCCGCATGCCTAGTAAGTAAGGGAGCTGGAATATGAATATATGACTCAGGCAGCCTGACTGACACCAGAACCCCTGTTTGTTTGGTTTGTTGAATATGTGAGGCTTATGTCACTCTCAAACTCCTTTTAACTCTAAAATTATATGATGTTCCTAAGTACAAAATATACATAATTGATAAAACAGTTTCTTGAAAAATGGAGTTCAATGAGATTGTTCACTTGAAATATAGACAGAATAGTTCAGAATTTAGCTTTCTGCACATTGGCTAATACTCTAGCTAAAATAGGGAAGAAATGTCTGAATGTATGGCTGCATTTTCTATTTTGGATATTCAACATTGGTTCTTATTTCAAGTACTCCCCCAGTGTCCCAAATAATTTCTGTGAAATGGGAATAATGACAATTCAATGAGATTATATATATCACCACTGGCACCTTTGACTAGAGGTGAAAGTCTCTGTATAAATGCCAGATATTCATTCCTGTTTTCATTAGTCATTGTTATCAGGTCCCCAGATTCATTGTTACAGAATCTTAATTTTTGGTTGTATCGTCTCCTCTGATGCAGTTCTTTTTAAAATGATGTCTCAGACATCAAGTGCTGTCCCCAAGCCACTCATGATGTAAAAGGATCGCAGATTTTCTGCCAGCAAGCCTTCCCCTCCTACTTCTTTCTGAAATAAAAAGTGAAGACGGAAAAGGAAAGCACTCTGTGCACCTCGGATCCTGCCTTCTGTTGCAGTGATGGGAAGCAAGTAGGCGGAGGCAGGGAGCAGGAAAAGCATCCCCAAGGCTCAGATCACGATTTAGTTCCTTTTTATGGCGTCATTTCACCCAATCCCAGAGAGTGCATCTTGTTCGGGTTCCAGGAAGCCTGGGTGGAGGTGGGAGTATAGCTTTGAGTCAGGAGACCAAGATTGCAGCACAGAGCCCCCCACTAACTAGTTGTCTAATCCTTAACAAGTTGCTTTGTCTTTCCGGGCTCATTTTTCTCATCTGTCAAGTCAAATGAAGGTTATGGAATAGATGATCTCTAAAAATCCTTCCAGTTCTACAGTTCTATTCTGGGCCCGTCTGCACCTGCAGACAGTGATGGGGGGGTGGGAGGGGTTCTGGGGAGGGAGGCAAATTTAGTCAAGAGAATAAAACACTTTCACCTGGAGCAGCCTTGTGTCCTCATGTGTGTTGTGTGGCACAGGCTTGTCTCAGATTATCCAAATAATTGACTGGGTTCTCTCCTTTCTTTGCCAGTAGACACACAGCTTTAGTTTTTCTGGGAGCAGCAGCTGCTTTTCTGAAATTTCCATCCCAGGGCTTCCGTCCTCCACTGTGTCCTCTCAGAAACCTGTCATGGTTTTTCTGGATGGATGCCCACAGAATTTTAATCCAGCCACAAAAAAAAAAAAAGAAAGAAAGAAAGAAAAAAGAAAAGGAAAGGAAAGAAAGAAAAAAGAAAAGAAAAAAAAAAGAAGGAAGGAAAAAAAGGTACTATGTATAACAAAAAGAAAAAAACAGGTTATGTGTTGACTTTCTTATTTAATTTGGTTACTTCATGGACTTGGAACATGGAGGGGCTTGGTCCACAGAACTGTCTGTGCCTCCAACCCAGAACCATGACTAGGGCCAGTGAATTTTCTTAGTTAATGAGCTTGTCTGTGGATATGCAGAGGAGAGGCCTATATGATTTAAGGGTTACCCTGGGTCTTGCCCCAGGTCCTGGCATCTCCAGACTCTTAGTAAATGTCTGCTTAATTAGATTAGACGTTTTCCTAGAAAATCCCATTTTCTACCATTCCCAAATAAGCATTTGCATTTCCAGTGAAGGGGAAGGGAGGAAGTTCCTGCCTTCAGGAAGCTTTTCTGAGTCACCCAACTTTTAGAAGGCACAATTCTCCAACTTGTGGAAAGATTCCCCTGGGGAGCCAGGTAGAAATGCAGATTCCTGGACGCTGCTCTCACACATTCAGTAAGTTTGAGAGACCCAGGAAACCAAAACTCACCTCGAATCAGCCTGATGCAGAAGGGCGATGGACTCCTAGGAAATGCTCATGGCTAGAATAAATAAATACCATTATCAGAAACAAGATTTTCATGTTCCCATCTCTATTTCATGTTGTTTAGATAAAATTCATGAAAACTGATGCCTAATAATCAGGATTCTTGGCATTAAGGTCTTTGCTCTGTGTCTGTTTAATACACACCGTAATCACCTCAAGGTTTGGAAAACCTGAAGCAAGGACAGTTTTGAAACTAAAAACGCAGAGTCCTGAGGGATTCGTAAAGAAGAGCATGACGAGCTTTGATATCATGCAGAACTGAGTTCAAATTCTGCACTTACCAACTGTGTGACGTGGCTCCCTGAGCCTCCATTCTTTGTCTGCAAGACTGGGTTAGTACTACCTCCCTGACGGAGGAGTTCAGAAGGTTACAGGAGTTTAAGCACCCAATAGTGACTGCTCCAAAGTTTCCTCTTAAAATACGCCACGCCACCGTTGTCCTATCAGAAGGGGAATGGCGGGATTTCCAGGCCTAACTTCAAATCTACGTTTGGGATTCGGCCACAGTTCGGGCTTTCCCCGCGGTGCCGGCTAAATGCAGGTGCGGACCTCCCGAGGCCACCACTGCCCCAGGGCGTGTCCTGAGCGAAGCAGTTTGCGCCCAGGCTCCCCACCCACTCCCGTCAGCCTACAAGAAAAGGTGTTGAGTTGGGTCATTTTTATTTTTAAGAAGACTTCCCTCGCAGCCTTTGACCGGGCACCCAGACGTCCGCGTGGGTTTCTCAGGCCGCCGCGGCCTTCGCTGGAAGGAGGAAGCCGCATAGCCAGGAGCGGCTGGGGACCCGGAGCCACCCCGAAGCGGCCCCATCAGGGCGGAGGCTGCGGTCTGGGACTTCTGAAGCACTCAGGGCTGCTGAGGGGGCGAGATGGGCCCCAAATCCTCAGGCACGCTGGACCCCGCGCAATCCGAGGTCCGACCCCTCCACCCCGCGAGGGGCTGGGAAGGGCTGGTGTTCTGGGATTCGGAACCCCCACCCCTGACCCTGCCCGCGGAGGTCCCACGAGCTCCCTAGGGCCGACCTCTGCGCGGAAACCAAGGCCCCACTCACCGCTGGGACCTCCCTTGGGAGGACCGGATCCCAGCGACCCGTGCTGGCGACGTGGCGACGGGAGTCAGGACCCGGCAGCCGCACCTGCGGACGGCTGGGCTCACGTGGGAGCGAAGCCCTCGGTGCCCCGAAGCGCCAATCTGGGCGTTTGAGCGTCGCGGGCAGTAACCGGGGAGTTGCCTGGATTTTGTGTAAATCCCACTGTACATCTTCAGAACAGGGTGGCTACAGGGACCCTTTCCCCCCTCCGCTCCCACCCGCCCCCACCGACCCGACGGAGGCGAGCGGGCACTTTCCACGGGGCGCCCAGTGGGGAGCGTGGGCAGCGGGGAGGGCCGAGGAGCCGTCCGTCCGCGGGGGACCCAGGAAACCCGCTGCCCAGCGGAGAGCAGTTCAGGACAGCCCCCCCCGCCCCAATAAAATCAAATAAAAGCCCGAGGTCTGCCTGCACAGCCACAGAGGCCCTCCGGAATGGGGCCACGCGTGGGTTCTCCAGGGGACGAGGGGGTGGCGGGGTGGGGAGTGCGAAGGGCTCCTCTCCCACTGCCCCCTTTGGCCCCGGGAGGGTTGATGGGGCTCAGCAGGGCGACGGCGGAGGCCGGGGCGGTAGTGGCCGGACCGTGGGGAGGGCGGTGCGCGCCTCGCTGCGAGCCGGAACCCCTCGAGGCCCGCCACACACGCTCGCACCCCTCCCCCTGCCTCCCTGCCTCCCACCCGCTCGCCGCCCGCGACCCCCTACTCCCAACCCCCTCCCCTCCTCCTCCCCTTCCCGGCCCGCCTCCGCCCCATTCTTGGAATTGTGTGGAAAAATTCTCAGCCAAACCTCCCACCTCTCCTCTCCCCCCACCCCCTTTAAAAAACCCCCTTTCCTCCCCGGCCCCTGCACTCTTTGTGAATGAGGGCAGGGAACACAGCCCTTCCCCCGCCCAGGAGCCACGCCAGACCGCCGCACTCAGAGGACTGTTTGTTAATAGTCCAATTAGATAATTGCCATCTTTCACTCCTTTTGCTCTGCATTTCCCATAAAGGAATGAATGGGGAGAGCGGCGTGGAGAGGGCTTCTGCCCCGGCAAGGTGACGAGAAGGGCTGGAGCATGCTCCTTGCACAAGGCCATGCGCTTGAATTGAATCATTGTAGCCTAATCAATGCTCTTATTGGATTACTGGCTGTTGCTTTTCTCAAAGATATTGTAGCAGAGACAATGAAATAGCTAGGGGAAAACTTTTTTTTTGAAGCAGATCTCACAGTTGAGATTTTCTCCGCGCTCTCTCCCTCTCCCCCTCTCTCTCCTGCTGGACTCTCTGAGTACAAAGCTGCCCTTTGAATGGGCTGTCTCAGGGCTGCTGGAGGTGCAGGCATGAAAAAATCCAACTGGAACGAAATGAAGAGAGGTGGCAGTTTAAGATGGCTGTCTGCGTCGAGGTGTGTTAAGGAGTTGTTTGGGGAGAAAGCTTGGCTTTTTTAGAGTGTAGGGGAGATACTTTTTGGAAAAACTTTTTCTCCTCCTCCTCTCCCCCCCACCAACTGCTTTCTTCCGCAGGGTGTGTAAGGGTTTTGTTTTTTTTTTTTCCCCTACCCGCCCCCCCCCATTCAGCTCTATCTGGCGAGTGTGGAGAAAACCCCTCTAGCCAGTATGTGAGCAGGAGGGTCAAAGGCAAAGGGAAAGTTAATAGTGCCTGCTAATAGTACTAACAATTCAGGATGAATCTTGTCAAAAGTTTTTCTGGAAGTGTAGGTCTTTGATTGTGTGTTTCCTGAAAGCAAGACCAATCATTTCCGTTTATTCACTGGCTAAACCCCTACTTGATTGGGGACAAGGACAGAAACCATCCATTACGATCTGATATATTATCCAAACAATTTAGTGTATTCATGAGGTAACCGAAACGTGGGGGCTGCGAAATTACCCGTAATCAGTTGCAACAGCGAGTGTGCGTCCCCCCGGGTGTCGGACAGCCACAGCTCGCCGTCTCAGTAACAGGCGGGAGCCGCAGCATTTCGGAGTTGCGCTGTTTGCTACCTGATCGCCAGGCTGGGGACACTGGACGTGCTCAGAGGACGCGGGCGCTGACGAGGCGGCCTCGCCGCGGCTCCACCGGGATCCTGGACCAGACCGGCCGCCTCCCCGCGAGCGCGCCACTCTCCCGTCGCCGCTGACCTGCCCGCCGCCGCCGCTCCGCGGGGACGATCGTTCTCGCCGCTCGCCAGGCCGGGCGGAGGGGCTGCGCTGCAGGGGTTTTGTCCCCCTTTGCCTTTTTTTTTTTCCTCCTTTTTTTCTTTTTCTTTTTTTTTTTCTTTCTCTTTTTGTTCTTGCCTATGTTCGGGAAACCAGACAAAATGGACGTTCGATGCCACTCGGACGCAGAGGCTGCCCGGGTCTCGAAGAACGCGCACAAGGAGAGCCGGGAGAGCAAGGGTGCGGAGGGGAACCTCCCAGCCGCCTTTCTCAAGGAGCCGCAGGGCGCCTTCTCGGCGTCGGGCGCTGCGGAAGATTGTAACAAAAGTAAATCCAATTCCGCAGCCGACCCGGATTACTGCCGCCGGATCCTGGTCCGAGGTAGGGATGGGCAGGGCTGCTGGGCGCGTTCTGTGGGGGCGACTCCGGGGCCAGAGCGGCGTGCCGCTGACACCGGCCGGTGCGGAGGGGTGCTGGCTGGGACTTCGGAGAAAGTTGGTGGCCCTCCTCGCCGGCTGGCCGCTGGGGACTGGCGCCTGGGGCTCGCCAGCGCGCGCTCTCCAGGGGCCTGGGCCCTCCAAGCCCTGAGGGGCCCCTCTGGCCGGGCTTTGGGGGCAGCCATGGGGCCGCGCGGGCGGCGCCGGGCGTCTGGCTGCGGCCTCCGACCCAGGAAAGAAGCTGAAAACTCTGGGAGGATGTGGGCGCGCCCAGCGGGCCAGGGGACCTTTCAGGAGCCGGTCGGGGGCTCCGGCTCTCTAGCAGGCTTAGCGCACCCAGAGGGGAGCGCGGGCGCCGGACAACAGCCGCCGACTGCGGGCTACGGCCCTGCCAGTGGGTGCTTTGGGCTGAGGGCCCTGGCGCCGCGCTCGGGGCCTGACCGCTGTCGCCGGGAGATAGCCGCTGGGCAGGGTTGCGGGGTCGCGAGTGCTGTCTCGGAGCTCAGCTCGGCCTCGCTCGGACGCGCAGGGTGCGCTCAGGCTGAGCGGCAGCGGCCTCGAGGCCCAACCCGGGCCCGGCGCCGCCCCCGCCAGCAGACCGCCAGGCCCCGCCGGCCCGGACTCGGTCCCTCCTCCTTCGGCCGCGCGGGCTCAGGAGGAAAGGAGACCCGGGCGTGGGGGTGGAGACCGCTGGAGCGCGGTCTGGTCGAAAAGCCCCAGAGCTGGGGACCGCGGGAACGAGGCTGGTCAGTGAGAGCACCCTCAGGCTACAGGGGACCCGAACGGCTCAGCCCAAGCCCTCCAGTCGGGAAGGAACATCGGCCTATTTGGAATTGATTTTTTCCCTCTCCCCTGTCTGGAGGGCTCTCCAAAAAGACAAAGTCTGGTCCCTCCTCCCGTCAGCGGTGAGGAATTAGCCACTTTCCCCCGCCCCATACAAACACGGTGTCTTCGCTCCCTGGCTGTGGCCGCACTCCCTCTCTCCCCGCCCCTCCGGACTGCAGGCTGCTAGGGACAGTGTCCCCAAAGCCATCTCGGGCCAAGGAGGTGGAGGGAGACGGGAGGGTTCCGGCAGCTGACATCTCCCCTTCCCCAGATGCCAAAGGGTCCATCCGAGAGATCATCCTGCCCAAGGGCCTGGACCTGGATCGGCCCAAGAGGACGCGCACGTCCTTCACTGCGGAGCAGCTCTACCGGCTGGAGATGGAGTTCCAGCGCTGCCAGTACGTGGTGGGCCGCGAGAGGACCGAGCTCGCCCGGCAGCTCAACCTCTCGGAGACCCAGGTACCCACACAGGGTTCTGCGCCAGCCTCCCTCCCCACCCCCAGCTTGCTCTCTCCCAACACTTAACCTGGCTCTGGACAGGGCCTCCCTGGGGAGGCGGAGGGGACCGGGTGGATGGGGAGGAAAGGCCTAAAGCTTCCTTCCTTTCCAGAAGCCATCCCTTTCCCCTTACATCTCCAAATCTTCCAGGGCCCATGTTCTGCCCACTTTGGCCTGGCCCAGGAGGCCCCAGATCCTTTTGGAATTCTTATTGGTCCCTGCTTGAGAGTTTCCTGCTTGTTTCTGCTTTATAAAGAACTGACTTTTGCCCTTGTTTTGGATATCCCATTTGGGCCAGATTTCCAGGTACTACCCATTTTGGGGTACTCTAGCATTATATAGCATCCAGGCCTATTCTGCAGGAAGTGAGGCTGGAGCCAAAATCCCCTGCTGTAGCACTGTGGATGACTCTTAGGGATTAGGACAGTGTACATCTCCTGGAGATCGGCCTGTGCAAATCAGGCTGCCCTGACCCTTAAAAATAGTCTTCCCCTGGTCCTGAGTTGGCTCCAACCCTGAGCACCACTCCAGGCACCTAGGAGGCCCTGTCTTCTGTGCCAATGATGTGAGGCATGGGATGGAAAGCAGATCTGGGGTCCTGGAGCCAGCACTGCCAACTATGCTTATGCTTTAGGTCTTTTTCTCTATGTTGAATCCATATGATGTTCCTGGAGCCTGGTATGTGGACTCTGGGTCCAGCGTCACTTTAGGGCCTGAGAACTTTGCCCTGTGGAGGCCCTCTGGGTCCTGGCCAGGCCATGCTACCCTCTTGGCCTAGGTAAGGCTGCCTTCTTTCTGAGGACTAGTCCCTTCCCCTATGCCCATCCCTGAAGCAAGTGGAGAGAATTTTAGGCCTGGGATCTGAGCTGAAAGCTGAGGACTGACAGAACAGACGGGATGTTCTCTTTGAGTTTGAGTTGGCATGGTAATTTTTTCCTGTGCTCTGCTACTACCCTTTTTGGTTTATAAAACCGAAACTGGCTAGTCTTTCTCTGTAGCTGCTCAACTCCATTCTGGGCTACTGCTAGGCCTGAAGAGGGGCAGAGAGAGAAGTGAGAGGTGAGGTTGGTGGGAAATTTTCAGTTCACCTCAGCCACCTGACTTCCTCCCGTGATTCCAAGTTCATGGTGGAGAGTAGTGGCACGATTAGAGTATCACTCAGACCCTTCAATCCAGCTGTCTGGTTAGGTGGAGAAAGCTTGGTCTATCATGTCCATCCTGCACAAAATTTTCCTTCTGCAACCACTTTCCCTACTTGCTGCTATTTGATGGTCAAGTTATAAGCAGGAAACAGTCCTTGTCTCCTTCCTTCAACAAGAGTAGCGCTTTTGGGGCTAAATTCGAGCCCACTGGGCAGGGCCTTGAGTCCAGGAAGGCCCGAGAAACGCTCCAGCCACCCCCTGGATTCCCTCTTCTGTGAACGTACCCCTGGGGCTCACACACCCTCTACCAGAAATTTGGGCTTTACGGCTGAGATGATTTACAGATTTCTGAACCTCAAATCCGGCTGCGGTTAGCGTGGGAGTCCAGTGAAATCCCTTCTGGTCTTCCTTCGAGTTAAGAGGCCTGGACCATTTTATTACTTTGTTATTTGTAACAGACGCTGGCCTAGGCCTGCTTCCATGACCCGGAAGCGCAGGCTGGTGGAGCTGTGTCCCGGCTCGTGGCACCACAGCTGCCCCAGCAGCTCTCCGCCCCGTCCCCTCCGGCTGTGAGGTGGGCCTGCGGCTAGGGCTGGGGTTTGGGAAGGGTCCCCCAGCCCTGCGCCCCAGGAGCTCGCTCTCTTTGATACTGGTCTTCCCTGCCCCTCTCTCCCACTTTCCCCGCGCCCCGGCGCGCAGGTGAAGGTCTGGTTCCAGAACCGGCGCACCAAGCAGAAGAAGGACCAGGGCAAGGACTCGGAGCTGCGTTCGGTGGTGTCGGAGACCGCGGCCACGTGCAGTGTGCTACGGCTGCTGGAGCAGGGCCGTCTGCTGTCGCCACCCGGCCTGCCCGCCCTGCTGCCGCCTTGCGCCACCGGCGCTCTCGGCTCGGCGCTGCGCGGGCCCAGCTTGCCCGCCCTGGGAGCGGGCGCCGCTGCGGGCTCCGCCGCCGCCGCTGCCGCCGCCCCGGGCGCCGCGGGCGCCACGTCCCCGCACCCGCCGGCTGTGGGCGGCGCTCCAGGCCCTGGGCCCGCTGGGCCGGGGGGACTGCACGCAGGCGCGCCTACTGCCGGCCACGGCCTCTTCAGCCTGCCGGTGCCCTCGCTGCTCGGCTCTGTCGCCAGCCGCCTGTCCTCCGCCCCGTTGACAATGGCTGGTTCGCTAGCTGGAAATTTGCAAGAACTCTCCGCCCGATACCTGAGCTCCTCGGCCTTCGAGCCTTACTCCCGGACCAACAATAAAGAAGGGGCCGAGAAAAAAACGCTGGACTGATTTTAAGTGTTTCCCTGTATTTATATTTATAGTATCTATTGTGGTGATATTTATGGACTCACGCGCGTTAGGTGCCCAGGGCTCCTGTGCTGGGCTCCTGGCTTCCACCAGGCCTTTGACAGCTCTCCTTTCCCAACAGGCTCTGCTGCCAATTTCATCTGGGCTAATTTCTTTTCTACCTTTCCTCCGTATTCCCCTGCCCCCGCCCTCAAACTTCCTTCTGAATCCAGGAGAGATCCAAAGAATTGGGGGAAATGCCCGAGTTAGCCAACCTGATGCTCCAACCAATGCCCAGCCCTGGAGGGAAAAGACTGGTGTTTTCTAAGTCTAAAGCGCAGGACACCTGCTCTAGATCGGTCCGCTGCTGCCGCTGCTGCTGATTCCCATGAATATTTGAAAGAGGAAAGCTGCACGCAGACCCCAGGCGCTGAAAACCTTGCAGATTTCTTTAGACCAAAAAGGAGGACGTTCCTTCCTCTTGCCTGAGAAACCAGGGCCTGTGGGAGCCCCAGGGCCCCACTTTGCGGACCTCTCGGGATAGTTGGTGCGCATACAGCTTCCCGGCCGGACATACCCTGCCGAGTTTTCTCCCCTTTAGGGAAACTCCAGTTACAACCACCTCCAACCCCAGGGGACAATAAACCAAACGTCATGGCAGGTAATGATGGTAACAAATTTTATCTAATCAGCAATAAAGTAAGAGTAATTACTACATAAAACCAGATGAAGTGGAACCCGTTTATTTAAATACTCGTAATGATGGAGTTTGGAAGGTGTAAGAAAATTCAGGATAGAGAATAAGCCACAGGGCAGCGCAAAATTCAAGTTCTGGGTATTGTGACTTTAAACAGGAATTTAAAAGAGGAAAAGCAAAGGGGAAAGCTAACCCTGCTAAAGAAAGAAAATTCAGAATCTTATCTCCGAGCCTGTTCTCGGCGGTGGCCGACAGCTTTCCGCTCCCCCAGGAGAGAGCGCCGAGGCTCTCCGGCAGTCGCCCGGAGGCGGTGCTGCGCCCTGCGGGCTCCCAGACGCGTGGCTCCCCGCAGAACTGCTGAGTTTGGAAAACGAATCAGCGCCCACCGCCTCCTCTCCCAAGCTCCTGGATTCACAAAACCCTTCCAGCACGCAGGAAACGCCTGGATTTCCGAGCAGTGCTTTGCGGAAGGGGAACTAGGGAAGCTGCGAGGCCGTCCTCTGAGCGTAGTCGCGGAGTCCAGAAAACTCCCAGTGTGATTGATAGGCCAGGCACCCCCCTTCCCGCCACCCAGTCCCGGGGTTTTAATGGTCCCAAATCAGAACCCGGACCGCGACGCCAGCTCGGCCTCACCCCTTACCCCGCGTAGCAACCACCGTCCCTACAGCCACGGCCACCCGCATTTTAACCAAAATCACACATCCAGACCGCGAGGTGCCGCAGTGTCTAGAATGTATTCATACATCCGAAGAGAGCGGAAAAACATTTTTTTAAATAGTAATTTTATTGTAAATTATTTACGTCCGAAGCTTCCCCCCCTTTTTCCTTTTTTTTTTTTTTTTTTAGGCAAATAGTGAAGAAAATAATGAATGATTCAAACGCGGGTAGGTGTCACTGAATCCAGGCTACTAACTTTGTTCTGAATGTTTTGGATATTTGGATGTTTTGTATTTATGTGGTGAGAGTTAAATATATATATCTATGATGATAAACGAGGTGTATTTTTTGTCTTATATTTGAAGGATTAAAAAAAAAAAAGAAGAAAGACCCAACAAATGAGTCTCTGCGTGGGGACTCCAGGCGCAGAGGGCGGCGGGCTCTGCAGTGCAGGGCGCTGTGACCGGTACGCTGAGCGCCTGGGAGGAGGTTTGGGGCGGATTTCGGTTTCTGGAGAGGCAGAGACGCCTGGCTACAATGATGATTTGTTCTTCTTGAGTGTCTCCATGTGGATCTCTCTGTCCCTATAGTGTCAGCCTCTCAGACCCTCCTCTTCAATTTCCCACTACGTATTTCTTGGTTTATTTAGGAAATTGTCTCTGGACACCCTAAAAATCCCTGACTCCTAATGCTCCCAGTTTCCAGAGTTTTCTAGCTGCACCTCCATGCCGGCAGCATTTTGGATTTTGTGCAATCACAGCGCCCGGAACAGGCAAGATTTTCTTTTCTGCTTAGAATAAGTCTCTCCTTCGTCAAAGAGAAACTTTGAGGGAGCAAGAGAATGAAGTCAATATTAATTCCTGCAAAGAGATCTCTCCTCCGACCTGCCCCCCACCCCCAGCACATATGCGGACGTCGATGTTTCCAACAGCAATCTGGAGAAGCAAGGAGGGCTGGGGAGGGGACTTCAGGACACGCTGTCCTAAAGCCTGTGCAGCGCGGGGCGCAGCCCGGGGTGGCGGGCACAGCGGCCACGGCCCCCTCTCGTGGCGTCCGCACACCTGGCGTTGCAGGTTGCAGGGATCCGCGGTTCCCTTGCGGCCCGGGCACAAACCAGGCCCCTCGCCACTCATTCGTCTATTGTGCCTGAACCTGCAGCTGGAGGCATCCAAAGTGAGGCGGCGGCACAGTGTGGGTCGCCGAGTCCTTGAGCTGAGTTTGGGGCCCTCGCCTTGAGCTCGCTGTGTTTGCTGAGGTCAGAGCAGCCGCCCACAAACAGTTCACTTTGTTTCTCAAAGTCGCTACATATCCCTCAACGTTGGTACTTTCAGCTCTTCCTCTCCCTGTGCGGCTCTCCCAGCTTTCTATCACTTGAAGCTGCTTTTCATTTTCTACTCTTTTCCTTCGATCCTGTCCTTTAGACCCCCTGCACTTCCTCTAAGGATCTCTCTCCCCCAGCTCTGGGTCTTCCACCCCTAGCCTCTCCTCTCTTCCATCATTTCTCCCAGGTCTCTCTCTCTCTCTCTCTCTCTCTCTCTCTCTCTCTCTCTCTCTCTCTCTCTCACACACACACACACACACACACATACACACACCCTTTTGGATTTCTCCTGTCCCAGTAGCCCCCAAAGGCCAAGGCCGTGGGTGGCTCTGGCTGCAGCTTCAAAGCAGGTGGCTGGGGCCCTCCATGGGTGAGAAGGGAGGGAGAAGGTGGCATAATTTTATGGAACAAAAGAAAACACAAAATCCTAGCTTGGAATTCTCAATAAGCTCAGCCTCCTCTCCCAGAGCCTCAGCCTGGGAAGTCACCAAAGCAGGTCCCTCCTTCCAGCTTTTCCTCCCCTTTCTCCTTTCTGCTTTCTTACCCTGAAAAGAGGGAAGAACCAGTCACCCCATCACCTCTCTGCTCTTACCTCCCTTTTCTCCCTGGCTTTGGGGAGAGCTGCCCAGCTCTTCCCCTGCCACTCAGGGAGTGCAATTGTTCTTAAAGAGCCTCTTCTGCTTAGAAAAGGAACCACAATTTTAATTAAAAAACATTTATAGACAATTCATTTAATTTTAGTGCCTGTCTTGTTTTCCCTCCTTCCCCAAGGGCATCCAGCAAGCTTCCTTGGGCCCTGGAGGCCTCTGGTGAGGACTCTGGTCTCCAACTGCAGATTCACAGGCCTGGGGGGAGGCCCAGTAGCCTCTGTGACAACAGCTGGCCCTGCCTGGGAGAAGGGGCTCCTGGGACTCAGGGGGAACAATTAGGGGGAGGGTGGGGGCTGAAAGGAATCTCATGCTCAGGCCTGCACAAAGCTACATCCAAGTTGTTTCAGGGCAGAAAAGAAAAGGAAAAAAAAAGCTCTCACCCAAACCCCGTGAGTTTGGCAGTCAGGTTCAAGGAAGATGTGGGAAGTCACTTGGGCAGCTGAACTGGAACATATGCTCATATCCACACTTGCAGTTGGCCTAACCCTGAGCCAGAATGAATTCCTAAGTAGCACTTAGCAGCCCCTTATAGTTTACAAATAGCATTTCATATACACCATTCTACTATTCCTCATGGTGGCTTTAGGAGATCTAGCTCCATTTTAGAGATCTCTGTACAGGATTAGAGCAAATAGCTTACTCAAAGCCAAGTGGATAGTCAGAACCACAGGATTGTAATCTCCCCCCCCCCCAGGGCTAGGGCCCTCTTCTTTTTGTTTCTTTTCCCCTCCCTTGCTTCCTTCCTTTTGTGTCCATAGTATCTGTCTGGCTCCTGGTCCCTGAATTTTTTAGCCTATTTGAATCTACATCTGTTAACTTCCATTTCAAGCCCTCTTTCTACTACACCAGCTGCTGAGGATTTACTTGGTGCCTTTATCAAGAGGTTTGAATTTCTTCATCCTTCGCATTTTCTTTCTTTTCAGTATCCCAACCCTTTCCCCCTACTTCCCTCTAGAATGACATCCTTAAACCCCATACTCTCTTTGATCTTACACTTCCTTAAAAAAGATTTTTTTTTGAAATTGAGGTATAATATCCATATGATAAACACCCATATGGTAAAGTACACAACGTTCAAGGATACAAGTTTCTGAATTTTTACATACACACATATTCTTGAATTGTTCCAAAGAACCCTTTTAGCTTCTCTCCTTAAGCCACATGATGACACACAGTGTCTTTCTCCTGTTTGGAAAGAAATAGTGTCATATTGGTATGCTGTTCTTGCATAGACAGCCCTTCTGGGAAGTCTTTCTAAGGTTTCTTGAGGGATTTAGAAATCATGTATCTCTTCCAACTTCCTGAAGTCCTGAGTTTAAGTGACTTAATTAAATAGTGGTCAGAACTTAAAAACTTACTAGGTCAATGTTTTTCAAGATAGAATTGAAGACCAGCTGCTTCAGAATCACCTGGGGACTGGTTAAAATGCACATTCCCAAGTCTTAGCCCCACCTGATGAATCAGAAACTCTAGGTTAGGGCTCAGCAATGTGCATTTTTAACACGTTTCCAAAGTGATTCTTATCCACAGTAACATTTGAGAACTACTGTACTAAATGGCAAACTCCCAAAACACTGCAGCCTCTAGCATCTGGCCCAGGGCCTGGCGTTTGGTAGGAATACAATGAATGTTTGTTAAACAAATTAATCCACATTTTCTGACACAGTTTAGAGTTTCTTGGACCACATCATACTATTGTAATTTAACACCATTTCTACACTGGGAAATCTTTACATTTTGGAGTCTTTTTACTTGAATAGGTTTTATTTTCATGAAGCAAGAGAGAAAAGAGGAATCCTGTTTTCTCAGGTCTCAGGGAAGGTTTTTTAATGAACCCATCTGGGACCACCTTGCTGTGCAGGCTGTCCCCTTTCAGACCTGGTGTTTTGGGGAGGGCAGCAGGAGAGCCCTTCAGGTTTGCTAAAAGGCACTCAGATGCATACCCTTGTTTGTTGGAACTGAAGGCTTCTGTTTGTAGAGCTGTTTAAGAGCTGTGGAAGGAGCAAGGCCACCAGGTCCAGTGAACATGGCATGGAATGGACATGGAAGTTGAAAATGACTTGAGTATTCTCTGCTTTATAGTTGATATAAAACATTTTCTGGGCCGGGCGCTGTGGCTCACGCCTGTAATCCTAGCTCTTGGGAGGCCGAGGAGGGCGGATCGCTCAAGGTCAGGAGTTCAAAACCAGCCTGAGCGAGACCCCGTCTCTACTATAAATAGAAAGAAATTAATTGGCCAACTGATATATATATATAAAAAAAAAAAATTAGCCGGGCATGGTGGCGCATGCCTGTAGTCCCAGCTACCCGGGAGGCTGAGGCAGCAGGATCACTCGAGCCCAGGAGTTTGAGGTTGCTGTGAGCTAGGCTGACGCCACGGCACTCACTCTAGCCTGGGCAACAAAGCAAAAAAAAAAAAAAAAAAAAAAAACATTTTCTGCCTAGGAGCACATTTATCCTCTTACCCTGTAAACAGAGAATAAATATTGTGCTTTATGTGGTAGGTATCCATTCTTAGAAATATATCACATCACATCACATAATATATCACATTATACATCATATGTATAATATATGTATATAATTTTTCATATAAAAAGTTTTTCTTCACATAAAACATTATGTGAAACTTTTTTCATATGAAAGTTTATTATGTATATAGCTACATACAGCAACAACACACACATATACACAAACATATCTGCCCACTGTCCAATATCTCACAAAGTGGAGGATACTGGTTTGGTGCACGGAATAAAAGTAATTCATCATAATGGTGACTAGTAATGGGCTTGTAGTCAGATTGACTTGAGTTCAAATCCCAGATTCGCCACTTAATAGTTGTGTAATCTAGGACAAATTACCCAGCTGGCTGCTCTAAGCCTATTTTCATGTTTGTCAAGTGAAGATAATAATGGTGCCTACCTCATTAAAATGTCATAGGTATTTAATTGGATAAGTCATGTAAAGCATCTAGTACAAGCCTAGTATGAAGTATACACTTAAATATTAGCTACTTATTATAAGACTGTGTCATTGAGGTGACCTGGGACTCTCCCTGGGCCTCAGTTTCCCCATCTGTAGAATGAGGGGATTGGCCTAAGGCCCTTTCCTGAAGAAGTACTTGGAATGCTACTAAGCCAGATATAATGGAATTTACTCTTCCTGCCTTTAGACTA